AAAGGGTTAGAGAATAGAGTAGGAAGGTGTGTTGAGTGTGGAGGATGCAAACAGGGACACTGGCCCCAGGGTCAAGGCAGTAAGAGAAAGACACGTGTTTGTGACAGCGCAAGCCTGAACATGCTTACAGCGTGATTTCGCGTGCAGCACTCCATGTGGGTGTCACCACAACCATGTTGTGATGTAGGACGGACAGCATCTAACATAAGGGACGTGTCTTTATGTCCTGGGGGAAGACAGCTGGTTTCGAGGCGAGGGCTTGGCCTGGGGTCTCACAGTGGTGGGGCCGAGGTTCTGCGGCCTCAGTTTCACCAGGGTGATCAGCCATGGCAGAGGGGGCGATTCGCTGGCCGCAGCTTTGCGGACACTCGGGATATATCGGCTGCCGTTCCGGGGAGCCTTAGACATCTGTTTTCCTGAATCTTTGTTTTTTTCTGTGTCTCCCAGACATTCTCCATACTCCTCTGCTAGAAACAGAGCAGAAAGGGCCTCGAAGCACAAGCACACGCCCCGGGTTCCTGAGACTGCAGCAAGAAGCAGGAGCTGTTTTCTTCCATTAAGCCCTGCCCTGAGCAGAAAGAAATCATCTCTAAGCTCCTGTCTTGGGTGACATGTTCCCTGACACAGGGTTGCTTTTCCTCACCTGTCTAAACTAAGTAAAGAGGATCCAGTATGCACTCAACGCTGATCTTTTCAACAGATACTCAAAGGATAAAGCAAGGATAATTTATTCTCCTTCTGTTTAATCCCATAGAGTGGATTGTGAACTTCCAAACACAGAGACATTCTTCTGAGGAGAGAGCCCCCTTATCAGTGTGGCCCTGTCCAAAATAACGATAACTCCACGTCGCCTTTGCCTGCAGGATGTATTTGTCCTGTCAATAACTAATTGTCAGGATTGCATTTGCCTCTGGAGAAGGGAAATCTGAAAAACATTTACATAAACATAAAAACATTTAGAGCCCAGGCTTCTAAATGCACATGGGTTACAACCAACTTCCCACTTTAATTATGCTCCCAGCATAACCCTAAGAGCAGAGGGGAAGGCAGCCGTCCATCCCTTCACTTGGCTCAGCTTGGGTGAGAAGTTCTTAAGAAAAAACACAGACATTCCCAGTTTATTTCTTGAAGAAGCTATTTCTTTTGTAAGGCATAATATCCAGGTGGGTTTTGCATACTTCATGAACAGAACATTTAAGTTGCTCTTAAATTGAATTTTAAGCACAATTTTTAGATATAACCACAGATTATTTGTTTGTTTGTTCAAGCTAAAATTAAAGCTGGCCGTCTACATAAACCGTCCATAGAGCGACAAGGATTTGCGTTCTGCCGCCTGCCCAAGAGGTCCACCGGAGACCAAATACCAAGGCAAACCAGCAATTTGGTGTGGCTGTGCGCGCACTCGTTTCCCTGACTGAGTACTCTGAGGTCATTAAGGGGTGCTGGGTTCTTTCGGAAGACGTTCTCATTAAGTGAATGGTGTCGAACTGCAGTTTAATAGCAGCCTAGGCATAGGCGTCCATGACACACACACACACACACACACAAACATACGAACACACTCACACACAAAAACATACAAACACACACACTCACACTCACAAACACAGTCACACACGAAAACACACACACACACACTCACAAACACACAAAAACACACACTGACACAAAAACATACACACACAAAAACAAACACAAACACACTCACAAACACACACAAAAACACACACACAAAACATACACACACACAAAACAAACACACTCACAAACACACACACACAAAAACATACAAACACAAACACACACAAACACACACAAAAACACACACACACTGACACAAAAACATACACACACACAAAAACACACACACACAAAACACACACACACACAAACATACAAACACAAACACACACAAAAACACACAAACACACTCACAAACACACAAAAACACACACAGACACAAAAACATACACACACACACAAAAACACAAACACAAACACACTCACAAACACACACAAAAACACACACACACAAAACATACACACACACACAAAAACAAACAAACTCACAAACACACACAAACACACACACACACAAAAACACACTCACAAACACACAAAAACACAAACACACACATACACAAACACACTCACCAACACACACACAAAAACATACAAACACACAAACACACACACAAAAACACACACAAAAACACACAAAAACACAAACACAAACACACATACAAACACACACACACACACACACAAAAACACACAAACACACAAAAAACACACACAAAAAAATACACACAAAAACACACTCACAAACACACATAGAAACACACACAACACACGAACACACACAAACACAAAATGATTATATTTACTTATACAAGTTCTATTTAAACTATGCCTACATGCAGTATATATGTTGCAAAACTTCCCCCCTACAGGCCAAGGAGGTTGTTTTTCTCATCTTTAAATTCCTAGAAGTGAGTATTCAGTTAAAAATTATCAGCATATTTGGCTCCAGTTACATTATCCTTGATTTCTGAATTTATTCATTCCAACAGATCTACTGGGCACCTATTGTGTTCCAGACAATCTACAAAGCATATGGATACCAAGACAGTCTTCTCAAGGAATATTTCATCTACCAAACTGAGTATTTTGATCTTATAAATGAATCCATAAGGGATTATGGATATTAAAGAAGGGTTAAAGATCAGTAGAAAAGCCCAAGTATTTTTTACTTTGAACATAACCCCTATGTTTCTACTGTTTGCGCAGAAAATAATAATAATAATAATAATGGCCTCTAAATCCTTCCTTTCTTGTCCATTTGTTTTTTAACTCTTCACTGGAGTGTGAAACCCTCGAGGGCAGAAACTCAGGCCCAGTGGCTTCTGCATCTCCAGCTCCTGGCCCCTGGCAGGCACTCGCTGCTGACAACCTGACCGACTTACTAAATAAACCAATATCGACATTTTCATGAGATACCAGGACACAAGCTTCTAAAAATGTTCAGCATTCAAAATACCAGAATATGAGGTAGGATGCTCCAAAGAAATAAATCAGCCTTCCCTCTCCCCAGCCTCACCCCTGAGAGAGATGTGCCATGGGAAAGAAGAGCTTCCAACGCTGGGAAAACTGCGCATCCTGGCACTGAAACACAGGAATTCCAGGAATCCCTTCATTGCATGAACAGTCTGAATTTTTGAAATAAGTAACGTGAATGATGACAACACAAGCCATACATACTGGCACTCACATGCCAGCCCCAGGCGAGGGCTGCATGGCAGAGCTGCAGGCCAGTTGGAAATGTGAATGACTGCACTTCCCATGTGTTTTTTAGGCTGCTACTTTTTACAGCCAAGAGATTTGCTATTAGAAGTTCACTTCAGTGTGACTGAAAGGAATGGAAATGAATTGACAGATGTTACAGGTTTTCTTTACCTTTAATCTATATGCATAACTACGCCCTGCGCTGAGACCCCTTTCAGATACATTGATCCAAGGTAAACAGTAATATACTGCAGGTCCTCAACTAACATCGTGTCATTCAATGTCGTTTCATTATAATATTGATAAGAAAAAATTGATTCCAGCTGGGGCCACTGTCAATGTGGTGTGTGCGGTTCTCCCCATGTCTGTGTGGGTTTTCTCCGAGTACTCCCGTTTCCTCCCACATCCCAAAGCTGTGCACATTAGGTTTACTGGCCCCCGTCTGAGTGTGGGTGTGTGTGTGTGTGAGTGTGTGTGCCCTGCAATGGGATGGCATCCTGGCCAGGGCTCATTACCCCCTTGCACCTTGACCCTGAGCTGGAATAAGTGTGTTAGAAAATGAATGAATGAATGACACAAATTTCACAAATTCTTGTAAAATAAAAATGCATCAAGTCTACCATAACCACACAGATGCACAAGAAATATGCGGTCTGAAAAAGCTCAACAAGTCCCTCGTATTCATGATGGCTTGTTTTTGCACTGCAAGGAGATGCTCCTTACAATTTTTACTTTGCAAATATTTCTTCCTTAGTTTAACCAACTACCACTATGACCACCCTCACTCACTGTTGCAGCAAAACTCGGGTATATTGTCTTGTTTTTATTAATTTTTCTTAAATGTATAGCTCACATTTATTTCAACGTTTAATATTTGCGGTGTTTTGGGTCTTTATTTAGAAGTTTGGTGATGTTTTTGTGACCAGAAATATGTCCCAGGAATTTAACTCTTGTTTATATCAATTGGCCTGTGGTAAGGCTGGATTTATTGTATGTTACTTTGTGTAACGTCGCGGTTTCCAAGAATCTATTGGTGACCTCCAGTGAGGACTTATTGTACGTGAAGCTATTCATTTGTAAACCTTCAGTGACGACAGAGAAACAGAGTCCCGAAGGAAGGACAGCTGGAGGCCTGCACCACCCGGAACCATCCTTCGTATCCGTACCTGAGTCTATAGGACCCAATGGAACAATAATTAATGGCAGCTGGCTCATGCCTAACCAGTTGTCTTCTCATTCTGAAGACAGGGAGGACTAAATTGTTTAGCCCTTCTTTTGTAGGTAGGACTGACAGACTCCATATAGCCAACGACTATAATGACTGAAATGCTTCGTCGATAATGGAAGATGCTCCATTGCTCAGTTTCCTTTTCATGGGACCTCAACATTTGACTTGGCAGCTGTGTTATCATCCGGGGCCCCTGAGAAACGACCGTGAGCATCACACATATGTGAGACAAGTACACGGTGTGGATGAGAAATACAGAGATTTTGCAAAGCTGCTGAGATTGGGGGCTCTTTGGTGGTTGTTACTGCAGCGTCATCCAGCTGACCCTGCCTGATATGCTAGGTTGCTCGCAGAGCGAAAGAAGGGGTTAGGGCCAAAGGAAGGCTAAGTCCCAGTGCCACCAAGCCGCTCCCTCCTCTGCTTCCTGGGAGACAGGCTCCATCATCAGCACGGTGCAGTGTGCAAATCAGAAACTTGGACACTTAGATTCAGTGCTGTTGCCAGAATAAGGTATGTATGGTTCCTGTGGACTCTTCTGTGGTCTCCTGAACACAGTGAATGCTGAGGAAAGGGTAGCAGTTATTACATTAATTTTTAGTTACAAGATGTTTGGCGCATAATATGAGTCTAGATAGGAAGGGACGACAGCCCTAGACCTGCATTCAACATCAGCAAATATTGATTTGAAAGTCTACCAATCACTATCTAGGAGTCCTTTCCTAAGCAAAGCTGAACAGGCTAGAAGAGGAGTCCGAAGCATAAAGTACAGCCTAGGGGAGGTGGCCTCTAGTCGAGAGAAGTCCAGGTCGTTATGTGAGTCCTTGGGCATCTGTGAAGGCTCCCTGGAGGAGGTGATGTGGCAGCTGAGATCTGTGAGATGAGGCAGGACAGTCTGGTATGAAGAGGGGAAGACGAGCTCACACAGGAGGAGCAGTATGTGCAGAGGCCGCGGGGAAGGAGGCGTGGTGCATGCAGAGAACTGCAGTGGCCATCTGGAGGCTACAGTGACTCCATCTAGAGGCTGATTCGTCATGCTGGCTTCTGATTAACCTCTGTTCCAGGCACACCTCTAAGATTTCCAGTCTGTCTATTGTTCCTTGAAGAAGAGCAAGTACTTACTGTAAATCCTGCCCTTAGGTCAGCCAACCTTGATGTTATCGTACTTCAATTGTCCTGCAGCTCCCTTCTGAACCATCCCTCCCTGTGATCTCCAAGCCCTGGGTCTGGGGGTCTTGGAGCAAAGACCCACCATCTTGTCTTACCTGAGACGCTGATGGGCTCCTGTTCCTAAGTCCCTATTCATGTTTCTGTCTGAGAAACTGGATACATCAGTTCCTTTCTTCAGCCTCTTGGCTTCCTCGGACTTTGGGAGTAGGTTTGCATAGACCTGCCCACTGCGGAACAGGCCAGAAAAGAGAATGTGAGGGGCAGGTGATGAGAAACGGGGCCGCAGCCGTAAAAGGAAATCAAGCCACACCCAACGCACGCCTAGATGTCTTCCTGTCGCAGCAAGTGAAACTTCTCAAGCTCCATTTCTTCTCTTTGTCCACAAGGAGTAATTTGAAATGAAGTCCTGCTGGGCGCAGAAGACAAAAAGATCTGTTAGGTCTCCCAACATCTGTGTCTAATCATTCAGTAACTTGCCTCAAAGCTAGCGTACACGGAGCAGGGGCTGGGTCCGGCGGCATCGTGGTGTTCTCCTGTTCCAGAGAGATGTTCTTATCTCCCCTCCTCCCATCTGCCATCGGCTTTATGGAACCCAAGTTCTCAGGCTGCAAAGCTTCCAAAAGATGTCTGAGAGGAAACTCTCAACTTGGCAGTCAACGCCTCTGAATTGCTGAGCAGTGAATGGAATTTCTGCCTCTCACCCCACCCACTCTGGAGAACTCTGGAACCCAGGAATCACATGATACTGCTTGCACGGGTAATGTGAGCAGGAGAGAAACCCATCCCTTCCTCACCCCACCCCGTGCACGAGGACATCCAAGGATATACAAGGTTCCCCTCTATGACTTTAGATTGGCTCTCCATGCCCAGGAGGAGAATTCGGCTCGTCTTCTCCCGCCAGCTCCAAATTATTTCTGGCTGGCTCATCCCTCCCCCTGAAAGACCCAGAGGATTCAGAGACATGGCAAGGCCTTCTGATGGACATTGAACTCACTGACTCGGCACGCACCGTAGCAAAGGTTTGCACAGAAACTTTACACCCAGAGCCAATAAAGTCCGTGCCATCGAAAGCAAGTCAAAACACAACGGCATCCAGCAGAGCAGCCAGCAGATTGTCAGCCTGTCCTCTTAAGCAAAAGTTCTGCAGGAGAGCCAGCGGAGAAGCTTGAGAAGGAGCCAGGAAGGGAGTGAGCTCCACATGCCCCATGCTGCTCCTGCCACCGCTGCCACGGCTGCTGCTGGAAAAACACATTCCAGCATCTGGCATCGGAGCCTGGCAGCTGAGGCGCGCCCCGCCTGTGTGGCCAGGAGTGCCCTCTGAAATGCACAGCCAAGAGAGGAGACGACAGGGCAGGTACAACTAGGGGTGCCAATCCCACGGGGCCGTGCCAACTCTGCCTTGCCATCCGATGCCAGCCAATTTCCTTGTGCCACAATGGCCGGGTTTAAGAAATGTTAACCTTGTGTTTTGAAAGTGATAAGTGCTCCAGGATAAAGAGAAGTCTTTTCCAGCCACGCCCCAATCTACTCATGAGGAGCAGGGACTGGGGAACAAATCTCCAATATGACAAATAACCTCAGAGCAGGGATGCAGAGAGGCTGGCAGCAGGCGGGACCTCCTCCAGCAAACACGTGGAAAGAGCCTAAAATCAGCACGTGGCTTCCAACCAACACTCCAGCACTCTCCAACCCAGGCCACGGTGGGGAGATTTGCTTCCCTGCTGTTTTCTTACCAGCAGAGCATTCTGACCTTCACAAGACCCTGCTTCCTTAAGAGAAAGCCAGGCCAGGGCTTCTGCTGCTGTGGCCTGTCACCTAATCTCTCTTTGGAGCTGGGCAGTCCTCTCGCCCATGAACAACCACACACCGCACCCCCAGAGGAGCCGAGGGAGGGAGCTCTGGGCGACGATTTCCAGGGAATGCCTCCCCAAGCACTGTTTAAACTGGAGGAAAGGGAACCACTGTGGCAAGAGCAGCACGAAAGATTTTTCAGTTGTGATAGATGTTTCATAGCCACTTACTTAAGCTCAGGTTAAGCCAAAACATGACCAAAGAATTGTCATCATGCATGAGCAAATGTAGAAATGCCATGTCCCTTAAGATTCTTTTTTTTTTTTTTTGAGACGGAGTCTCGCTCTGTTGCCCAGGCTGGAGTGAGTGGCGCGATCTCGGCTCCCTGCAAGCTCTGCCTCCCGGGTTCACGCCATTCTCCTGCCTCAGCCTCCCGAGTAGCTGGGACTACAGGCGTCCATCACCACGCCCGGCTAATTTTTTGTATTTTCAGTAGAGACGGGGTTTCACCGTGTTAGCCAGGATGGTCTCGATCTCCTGACCTCGTGATCCATCCGCCTTGGCCTCCCAAAGTGCTGGGATTACAGGCGTGAGCCACCATGCCCGGCCAAGATTCTTTATAGAAAAAATAAAACCAGGTGATCACTGCAAACGAAGGCATCTTCAGAAAATATGAAAGGCACTAACTTTATGTGACCCTGTGCAAACTGCTCTAAACCTGAAGGAGCAGCCAGCTTCCTGTCTCAAAGTTCTGCTGCATTAAACAGATGGCAGAGTGGTCCCAGACATCCCAGCAACTAGGCAGGTACACACGTTTCAGAAATGAGAGGTGGACCAATAACAGGTCCACAGGGAATGGTTTGGGCACAGGGCAAAGGGGACAGACAACCTCAAAGGTCCTTTGGGTGGACACAGAGGCCACTTGGGGCACTTGCCACAGCTTCGGGATGCATCTTGTGTCAAGACCTTGGCATGCTGAAGTCAGCTAAAACAGAGCCAGTCACGAGTTATGATTATCCTCGTTCAGCTAGGATGGAGAATCCCATACGGACACCGCGGTCACTTTCCTTTCTGGACGTCCTATATTTAATTGATGAAGTCACTCGAGCTTCCTCTGTTTGAGCTAAGGTCCCTGAGTTTGGCAGGAGAGGGATGATGGGAGTTCCTGGGGAAGGAGGCTGATCTCAACTCCATTAAACATTCTGAGAGGGTATAAAATTTGTCCGGCCTGTTTGCTTTTTTTTTTTTTTTTTTCTCCAAACTCCAGGCTAGGGGTGGGATACAGTTCAGAGCAGAAAAACAGAAGCAGGCCTTGGAGGAAGGTCCAGCATTGGTAGGAACGATGGCAGTAGATGGGACCATCCAAGAGAAAGCACTGAGCCCTACCTGAGCCTTGGGTGCTTCTTGGGTGAGCTCCCTGCATTCCCAACAGACCCCTGGCCAAAGGCGCTTTGAGACTGGGTACCAGAGCCGCTTCCGCAGCAACCACCACGCTCAGTCACCGGGCATGTCGCAGGCCTGTCCTTGAAGCTCCCTCCTACAAGCAGATTGAAATGCTGCTTTCCCGGGGCTCTGTTCTGCACTGTCAGTCTGCACTGCAGAGGATGCTTCAGCCGGAGGATCAATTCTGTACTCTCCGCAAAGAGCTCTGGAGCTGGGGGTGGGCCTGGAGATGCCAGCACTTTTCTGAGTCTGTATCTCACTTTGTAAAAATTAGAATGACTCAGGGCAAAAGGAGAGAAAAACATGTATATTCATGCAAGATAAAGTTTTAGAATCCATGCAGGGAAGTTACGATCCACAAAGCAACCATAATTTAACCACATTACATGCCAGAATTAAGCTGTAAATTTAATAGCATGTATTTACAAAGTAATGAAAGTCTACATATCATGTTTTCAAAAATAATCCCACAAATCTGAAAGTAGGTTGATTTGACTGCTGGACATTCCTCTGAATATTTTGCTACTTATGAAATCAAATTCTCATCTTCACTGGAGCGTTGATGTGGAGGCATTTTATGGATGCATGACAGAAAACGTGTGGAACAGGTGAGGAAGTGTGGGAGGGACCTGATGCCATTGTCTTGGAAGAGGTCACATTTTCTGGGAGCTAAACGGGCTGACGAATCCCGCCTGCTGCATCCTGTCACAGTGGAGAGCGCTACTAAGATTACACGGTGGAAGGAGGCCTGCAACTCCACACCAGACTAAAATGCACTCAAGGCATGATACTCAGGGTTCACTTTAGAAGACCTGATTCTAGTCTGCTGAGCTCAAATAAATTTCATTTATTCAGTGTCTCTGTGCACTCAGCACTAGTCATTAGTGGCTGAGCAATGCCAACTTCACTTTTTTGTAGCAGGGGAAGGAACAAAATCTGTCTTCTTAATGTCTTCCTATAGATAGTATTCACCGGTCCTTTTGCGGAATCAAATGTTTTGTTGCCCTAAAGAATAGAAGGATGAACCTTTTCAAGCTCCTTTTCTATTTTTTGTAAGGTATTAGTAGATGCTTACAGTACAGGGCTATATATGTGGGAAAACAGAGTTGACAAAAGTTCTGGAAGATTGTAATGCCATTTCATTAGGCTCTTGGTACAGCCTGAATCAGCACAAAGACACGAGGTCATTGCAAGGAGGATGGACAGAAGCTCCAGCAGCCTCTTCCGGCAATCATCTCTGCAAAGGCTAGGCCTGACCAGGGGAGGGTTCTAGATGCTCCCTGGGGAATCCAGATGAGCCAAAGAACTAGGACTTAATTTGAATCACAGCTGATTTTTGCAAGTCTCTCAGAATCCTTATAATCGGGATGGTGGCACTTGTAAACCTCCTGTATGGTAGATGCCCCCCCAGACAGCAGAGGGTCCCAGACGTTCCAGCAACTAGGCTGGGACACACATTTCTTTCCTTCCTGAGATTTGCAAAAGGTCAAGAACCAACAGCCTGGATCTTCTGAACCAAAAGAGAGTCCTACTGGAAAGAACCACTAGGCTGTAAGCCTCCCACGGGCAAGGATTCACATCTACTACTTACCAACAAGGGCATGTTGAAGGTGCAGAAGAACGAAGGAAGGTGCAAGTGGGTTGGAGGGGAGATGTTTTGCAGAGAAAACAATCAGTTTGTCTAAAATAAAGGATGAAACACTAGAAATGCAGAGGCCAGGATGGAAGGTGGGATGGGTGAAGGACACCATCAGCGGGCAGGGACGACGAGAGCACGTCCTTGGATTCCTCCCTGCAAACAAAGGCTGCCAGCAGCTGCCGCCTGTGGGTTCCTGCTAAGCCCTCATCCGAGTACTTCTGCCTCAGTTGCAGTTACAGAAATAAAGTGCTGGAGGAAGAGATGGGATTTAGCAAAAATGACTAGTGCTGAGTGCACAGAGGCACTGAATAAATGAAATTTGATTAAAAGGGTGAATCTGAGCCAGGGGAAAAAAAACCAAGCCAAGTGTTGACAGCGGAAAAGCATCCTCGGAGGCTCAAGTGCTGAGGCCTCTCTGGCTCTTCCCTTGGAGCCCTGTGGTCATCTGGCTGTGCGTGTGCCTCTCTCCTGCTTCCCAGTCCCTTATCCTGGCAGATTAAAAAAAAAGTCAACAGAGCGATGCTGCCCGTTGCTCAGGCAAAGGCCCCTTGAAGTACCTTGGGGTCCCCGTTAATTCTTTCCATAAGCGTTTATGAAGTGCCTACTAGATGTCAAAGAGAAATCAAACCACAGCCACAGTTAGAGCCTCAGGCATTTCTGTTCAGGAACTCACAGTGTTATCGGGTTCACTCAAGGAGATGATTTATTTTAGATCTTGACTCTCACTCCAGCTGCCCCACAGGAGAATGACATTTAAATCAGAATGCCACGTTATCCATTTACAATAGAAAATATGTATTTGCAGAGACCATAATATTTCAGAACCTGGCTACTCTAAGGGTGGTCCACGAATCCACAGTGTTGGCAGCACCTGGAAACTTGTTAGCAAAGCAGAAATTCAAGCCCCAGCTCAGATCCACAGAATGAAAACTGCATTTTAACAAGATCCCCAGGTGATCCTTATGTGCATGGAATTGGAGAAACAATGGTCTAGAATCGTGGTTCTCAAACAGGAGTGTGCATCAGAGGGAGGGATGGTTAAAACCAGGGTGTGGGGGTCCCACTCCAGCGTTTCTGCTTTAGGGGGTGTGGAATAAGGCCCAAGAGTTTGCAACATCTCACAAGTTTCCAGGGCCCAGACTTTGGGAACTACCGATCCAAACATCTAGACAACCCCCTATGACACCACAATGCCTGACTTAATGCGGTGGCTGAAGTTGCAAAATTAATCCGAAGCCCTCATCATCCTCACATCTGAGCTGTATCAGCCTCACAAGGAGGGTATGTGTATAAAACAGATCACTGGTCCCCATCCCCAGATTCTGTGTGTGCCTCATTGAATAAGAACAGACTTACACATTTTCACATCATCATAAAATTTAAGACTATTAAAGACAAAAAGAAAATTTTGTGTTGTTTTTTTTTTTTTAAAACGAACTGATTGAATTTCTTGAAGTTTCTTAAAACTCAGAAGGCAAGAAGTTAGTTGTTTAGTAACAATTTTAAAGTTTCAAGTTAGCTACGTTGAAATGTGCAGGTGTTGGCCGGGCGCGGTGGCTCACGCCTGTAATCCCAGCACTTTGGGAGGCCCAGGCAGGCAGATCATCAGGTCAGGAGATCGAGACCATCCTGGCTAACACGGTGAAACCCCGTCTCTACTAAAAATACAAACAAAAATTAGCTGGGCGTGGTGGCGGATGCCTGTAGTCCCAGCCACTCAGGAGAGTGAGGCAGGAGAATGGTGTGAACCCAGGAGGTGGAGCTTGCAGTGAGCCGAGATCACGCCACTGCACTCCAGCCTGGGTGACAGAGCGAGACTCCATCTCAAAAAAAAATAAAGAAATGTGCAGGTGGTTTTTTGGACAGTGCAAGAGTGCTTTGGGTAGAAAAGTAAGCACATGTTTCTCTTTCCACTTTTCCTCAGCAGCCTTGATATGATGAACGCTATCACATATGCCACTATCATTCCTGCACATCTGCGTGGCAATAATAATTATTGATGGTAGATATAGCAAAATCCTTGATTTTTCTTCTTGGTGTCCTGGACCTTTGGCCTTGCCTGCTGTCTTCACAAACGTTCTTGACTCATGGCCCCACCCCTCATCAAAGTGCAGACAGACCCTGGACTCACCAGGCCCGCCACTCCAGGCTTTGGACAAAGATGTGGGGAGAAAAGTGGCATGGTGGTTTTTAAAAATAACATTTTTAATGTTTTTAAAAAAACATGAATAGGGGGTGGAGACTTTCAGAATCAAAAAAAATAAAATGTCAGTGAAAGTAAAGGAAGGGCTAGTCCCCTCTTTGAAACAATATTCTGCAACTTAAAGAATAGCTTGTGAACAGGGTGTGCTAGGGAGAATTTAATCCAGAGAAGGCAGAAGCAAGACAGGAAATGTCTTTTCCCTCCCACAGATTGGAGCAGAGGGGCCGACGTGGCTGTGGATTGGTGGCAGGGGAGGCCCTGGCTTCGGGAACACTGTTCTAGTGTGCACTGACAAGATGTTCCTATTTAGACCGAGGCTTTCAAGTGGCCATTCTTCTCTAAAGTTATTTTTATCTATAGTGCCTCGCCTGTACATAATGCTATAGGTACACGTGCAATCAGTGCTTAAAATAGCACCTCAATTCTATCATGATAGCTAAAAATAATCCTGGGGTTCCTTTGGAGCTCGCCTGGTGGCTGCCCTGGGCACACAGGCACAGATCCTTGTCAGGTCTGCCTTCCTACCAGATCTTCAAAAGACTTTCTCCACTCCCCTACCCACCCCCTGTGCCCCCCCACCCCCATTGCTTCCTGGAACTCATTTCTTCTTATTGCTTTGTGACGCAAACTTCTCGAAAAACTTGCACAATCACAAACCCTGATTGGCATTCCTACCCGCCTTCTGCTCATCAGCAAACGTGATAATGAAGCCGTTGCTTTCTCTTTCTCCCCGTTTCCCTCCTTCACTTTACAGCTCTACTGGGACAGATGTTTATTGACTCTTCCCTTCCACCTGGGAAGAATTTGTTAACAGGAAAACACAAAACGGACTTCATTCGGGGCACCCAACAAATTACTGACTCCTCTCTTCGCCCAGTAAGTCGTGGGGACTAGCTGTGTTGCCCCGCGTCTTCAGTTGTAGAGGGTTAGCGGCAGCGTTCTGCCTGTCCTTCCAAGGCTTGCCACTCCCTCTTATTATCAGGTCTCTTTGAGATAGAACTGCTGATCCTTACATATTGCCAGATTCCCATCTGAGCATGTAAACCCAAGCTTCAATGGGCTCCAAACAATCTTCAGATTTTCATTCTAGAAACTTCGAAGGATAGAAACTTGCTCCCTGAAAAAAATTATTATTTGTTCAACATCTGGCTCCGCGAATCTGCAGCCCCAGAAATGACCAGATCATTTCATGAGAAAACCCAATTTGGGGTTTTGATTCTCCTTCAAGTTTCAACTTCTTAGAAAGCCCCTGGACTTTCTGGCCAGCATCACCTGGGGCTTCAGTGTGGCCCCCAGCACAGCCACCCTGTGACTACCCAAAGGACACACAGTGAATACTGGAGAGAAATTCCTAATGGCCCCCTTACCGATCCCAGCTTACTTTCATTCCGTCTGCACTCTCTGTCCCGTGAAAACAGGTAAGTGGCATCTGTGACCATGATTCCAAGCTGCTTTTAACAGCAAAGTATCCAATTATAGACACCATTTTACCTTACAGGGACTCCATTATGTCTGCTCAGAGTGCAGCTCCACGCGTCCCCCTCCTGGAACGCCACAATCCGCCACCTCCACGCTGCACGTAGTTCTGAAACTTCCTCATAATCGCATGCACTGGCACAAAGCCTCAGCAATTAGTCTCAAACAGCCCCATAAACGAGCACCTGGCTAGGTGTCATAGACCCAATGAAAGTCAAGTGCGTCAACGAGATGCTTATTATATGGTGCCTCTCCCTTCTTTGTTAATGTTGTTTGGACCTCATGGAAACCCGCGTGCATAGGAAAATACAGGCAGCTGTTCAGGTCTCCCCCAGCTTAAACCAGTGTTTCTGTCAAGCTATAGATGAAACAGTGAGCAAACGGCCTTCATTTCTGGAGCCCTCCAGAAACATTCCCAGAATTCCAAAATGAATGTCGACTGCAAAGCTAGGGGAGAAATAGACCCCTCAGGACAAAGGACCTCCAAGCACTGCCACCAACAATACAGGATTTTTCTCTTGTTTTGACTTGGTGGAATATGTTGGGTCACAGTGCAGTGACCTTGGAGGGTTTGATGATTACAAAGAAACAATAAAATTTAGAAAAACAGAAGAGAAAGAAAAAAGAATGCTCTGGGGGTATGAGAACAGCAGAGGACGACAGCAGAAACAGTTTTGGAATGAGGAAGGTTTGGGCATTTGAGCTCCCGCCATGGATAAGGAGCGCTTTTTGGTTTGTACTTAACGTCCAGGGCTCCCCATCCACTGAGTTCGCTGCCGGGTGTGTGTCAGGCCCTAAATCTCCTGCGTCCCCACAGCCCACCCTGTTAAGTCCAAGCAGAGAGACCAGGGCATGAGGAAAGAATCCAGGCCACGGTGGTTCATGCCTGTAATGCCAGGCAGGTGGATCACCTGAGGTCAGAAATTCAAGACCAGCCTGGCCAACAAGGCGAAAACCCCGTCTCTACTCAAAATACAAAATTAGCCGGGCGAGGTGGCGGCGCCTGTGGTCCCAGCTACTCGGGAGGCTGAGGCAGGAGAATGGCGGGAACCCGGGGGGCGGAGCTTGCAGTTGGAGCCAAGATGGCGCGCTCTTCCTCCAGCCCTGCGGTGCACAGAGCGAAGACTCGTCTCAAAACAAAAATGTTGTATTGGCACTAATTTCATTGTTCCCTTTTGTCAAGGTCATGTTTACAATTCCTTTTTTGAGCGGTCGGGTGTCTCGCTCTTGGGCCAGGCTGGGGTTGGTGGCGCCTCTCTGGCTCCACTGGCTATATCGCTTCCGGCCTCTCGTTGGTTCCGCCTTCTCTGCCTCTATGTCCTCCGGAGTCGCTTGGGTGTATCACATTCGGCGCCCGCCATCACGCCTGGTTAATTTTTTCCTATTTTTTAGTAGAGACGGGGTTTCACTGTGTTAGCCAGGATGGTCTCCATCTCCTGACCTCGTGATCCACCCGCCTCGGTCTCCCAAACTGCTGGGATGACAGATGTGAGCCACGGCGCCCGGCCCCCAATTCCTGATGCAACACGGTGCAGTGGAGCTGAGGGCCCCACACAGATGCGGCAGCAGCAGTGCTGGGTTTCAGGCCCGTCACAGGTGAGTCACAGGTCACTCTCCGGTCTCCAGTCCTCTTAGCAGCAAAACAGTCCCAACTCCACAACTCCTGAGCCCTAACAGCATCCCTATCACGGAATCTGCGTCTCAATCGCTTCCTTCCAATGGGCGTTTCCCTAGAAGCCCCCATCTCTCCTGTCACCTGCCACACCCCGCAAGGCCCCCCCTGGCCCAACCAAGACCTCTCCGTTAGCCTTCTGCCTGCACAAGTCCAAATGCCCCCCATCCCCTCATCACAAAACATTTGGGAATTCCTGGCCTTTTGCATTTTAAAATCCACTATTTTAAGATATTCTGCAATCAATGAATCCTCTAGAGGGAGGGATTTTTTCCTGGACTCCTGTGAAAGGCAGCCGCCTCCTCCCCTCATGTAACATTCTGCTCGCTTGTTTGTTCCATGTTACCTTTGCTTTGCCCAGTCACATGGCCAATGGCTGTGGAGGGAGACAGGACACTCAGCACCAGGGAGGCTGATGAGGAAGGAGTGGGGGGAGCAGGGCACCACTGGCTCTAGCCCAGCCACACCAGAGCCCTGCTGCTTCCAGAAGCCTGAAGGTGGCCGCTTCCGCTGATTTCCCGATTTTCTTGTTTTTAGATGGTCCTGGACCTAAAGCTCCAGGAGGTTAGACCACAAGAAGGCAGACGGCCCGCACACCACCACCAGTCAGCAAGTGAGGCTTCACATGGATGCAAATATCCAAAACACGCTTGGGCTGAATCACACAGCAAGGGAGAAATCTTAGTGAGGATGAAATGTTGTCACTGTCAGCCCAAGGGCAGGAACGTAGCCAGTGGCTAAAAGACAGAAACATGAGCTTTGTCTGGGCTCTCCTGCCTGCAGTCCCTCCTTCTGCTCATCCTTCCCTTCCTCTCTCACCCTCTCTCTAACCCAGCTCCCTCTTCCTGTCAGGCCTATGCAAGAGCAGGTGCCCTGTGGTTCCCGATCTCCTCTGGAGCCAGTCACCTGTAGAGGATCAGGACTCTAGCTCCCGGAGCCTGCGGCAAGAGGCAGGTCAAATCAGCGTCTGCTCCTCATCCTACCAGCAGGCCCCGAGGATGGAAGGGTGACGGAGGGGCCCATTGTGAGCCTAAGGGGAAACCGAAAAGTCAGGAAAAGGTTTCCATGACAAGCCGTTTTCTAGGAACTCTAACAATGGAGAAATAATATCATCCAAACCTAGAAAAGAGAAGACAGGACTACAAGAAGAAAGGAACAATGATAAATGATACTACCCAAAGCTAGTATCATTCCGAGCTTAAAGAGCGAATGAAACAGAAAAGGGGAGAGGGCAGCAGCTGCTAGCTGAGGACGCGGCCTGATTTTAGGAGGTCATGCCCTTAATTGGACACAGGAGTTTGTTCATGGGTTACCCCCCTTCCTGCACCTTCCGTGGTGGCAAACATTTGGGTTTTACCACCACCAGAAGTTTCTCTATCCATCAAAAATCACAAGACAGTCCACAGCACCCTACAGGCTCCCCATCCTGCCCTGGGCCGGGATAGTCCTGAAGTTCTTATCATGAACAAGAACCAGAATGTTCCAGGACAGTTTGCAAACAGTATCGCTAAAAAAGAGGCTAGTGCCACAGATGGTGGGTTATGGTTATATGACAATAAGGCAAGGGTATATCTGTGTATTGTGAATGTGTGTTATGTGTATATGTGTGCATACATGTGCATGTGTTGATGTGAGTGTATGTGTATGCATGTGTGTGTGGTGTCCATGTATATGTGTACTGTTTGCACGTGTGTATGTGTGTGCAGCTGTGTGCACATGAGTTTTGTACATATGCGTGCATGTGTGTGTGGGCAGGTGTGGGTATATGTATACATCTGTGTTGTGTATGTGCAGGTGTGTGTGTGTGTATGTGTTGACGTGTCTATATGTGTAGAGTGCATGTGTGTATGTGTGTGGGGGCTGTATGTGCAGGTGTAGATGTCCATGTATTATGCATGCACTTATGTTCTGTATGTATATCTGTGTGTGCATGTGTGTATGTGGGTTTGCATATGTATGTTCTGTGTGCATGTGTGTATGTGTATGTATGCATTGTGTTCTGTATGCCTGTTCTGTGTGCATGTGTGTGCATGTGTGTGTGTATGCATGTGTGTTCTGTGTGCAGTGTGGATGTGGATGTGCATTGATGTGTATTCTGTATGCATATGTAGATGTGTGCCTGTGTTCGCATGTTTGCTGTGTATGCGTATGTGTATGTGTGTGGGTGCAAATGTGTGTATGTATGAGTGGGAGGATTGTGTGTGTAGCTGTGTAGGTGTGCATTATGCATGTGTGCTCTATATGCAGTGTGTATGTGTATGTTGGTGTGTGCATGTGTAGATGAGGGTGTGTATGTGTGCCGTGTGTATACATAGAGTAAATTTTCCTTTCTACACAGACACACACACACATTTACATGATCCAGTATGGTCCTTACCAAAGCCCACAGGCACCTGCAAAGGACGCAGCACTTGCCAAGCCACTAGCCAAGCCATACGGCTCAGAGACAAGTATTTATGGTAAAGTCATCTGTTCCAGACAGCCTGTGTCTTTAATAGAAATGCCAAAAGTGCTTTGCGTTGGGCAGCCTGGGGTGTGTCCTAGTCAGGAAATCTCATCAGATTGCTTCAAGATTTCCTCAGCCTTCACTCCAAAATACTAACTGCATCGCAACCATAGGAAAATCAAATCCACAAAGTAGATGGGTCTGTTTTGAATTTTTATGTAATTGGAAAAATGAAATAAATTCTTTAAAATTTGATTCTAATTTGCCCTCACCTTTTATGGATTTTGGAGCTAATCGACCAAGATAGCGCTTATTTCATTCTTCCCTTAAATCTGGGCTATATATATATATATATATATATATCCATTATTTGTGAATAAAGATGATTGATAGATATTAGTATTTTCAGGGATTGCTGCTACTTAAATTTATGTACTTTTTATCAAATAGGAAGGAGAAGAAATAGAAGCTATTTGGCTGTCTAAAACATACTGGAAAATGATCTGGAAATTTATGTAGTGATTTAAAAAATTACAATTTTTTGCTTTCATTTGTCTAAAACATGAGGGATTTTTTTTGGTCCATTTCGAGAGCTGCAAGAGCCAAAAATTAAGAAGAAGGAAAATGCTTTTCTGAAGGAAAACCCACTTAACATGACAGCAACTGCTAAGGATTCATATATATGAGCAAAAGAATGGGTCTTTAACACAGGAAAGAAAAGAATGAAGTAAGTCTTTAATCCTTGCTAAAACATAAAAGAAAGTAAACCTGACTTTAAGACATCACTACCATGGTGGGATCTTCCGGCCATTTTTGAGCCACAAAGTGTGGTTATACACTCATGAATAATATTTGAGCACAAAAGCTGAATCAAATAAAATAAATGATATAGGTTCCAAATTTACTGAAGCAGAACTAAATCGCACTCATTGTTTCTTCGTTTTTAAAACGTGAGGCATGACGCTTGGTTTAAAGCCGGAGGCTGTGGTCGACATTCCCACAATTTAACGCCCCTTTCATCCAAAGCTGTGTCACGCTCT